AGAGTAATTTGTTTGTCATCCTTTATGTTCCTGACTGCAACTTGTTTTTTATTCATAATGTTTCAGGAACAGAAGATAAGAGAAGGTCTTTATATGACGGGGCTGGAAGATGGGATACTCCATCTCTCATGGTTTATTGCATATAATTTGCAGGTTGGTTCTTTGTTCTTTTGTATTTTTGTTTAATTTATGAAGAAGTCTCAGCAAGAATTCAATCAATTTAACCCCATTTTTTATAATTTTGTTATATTATAAATTTATTATTTAAATAATTATTGCCACCATTGCATGCTCTTGTTTTTGTTGGAGGATTTTTGAAATATACTTCAGACTTTCAGTTCTTTGGCTTTGTAGGATAACTATTGTTGCTTGGCTCTAGTATGTGCACTGTTGAACAATGATTGAGTCTCAGCATTGATCAACTTGCAAGAAAGGAAGTGTCTCCTCTGATTGATAAAGCAACGTAGTGTTAATGTACCGTAGGTATTGTGTGTTTGGTTAGATCATGAATATAATTAGGTACACTAGCAAGAAGAGGGAGAGGCTATGTATAATTCGTTTTTCTGAAATTTGAGTCCATTTGGTTTGAAGGAGATGGTCTATTGATAGGTTATGTTGCGTTGGTGGTAATCTAGATCAAGTTCTATTTGAATAAGAGTAGAAAATATAACGTTGGACTTTTCAGTGCTTGTCATCCCTAACAATTTTCTGTGGGGGTTTTTTATTTTTATTTTTCGTAGTTTGATTTCTTCTGCAGTTTGCAGTTTCTTCTGCGATTATTACGGTTTGTACCATGGATAATCATTTCAAGTACAGTGATAAGACAGTGGTGTTCATTCACTTCTTCTTTTTTCTAAGTGCAATTATGCTGTCATTTTTAATCACTACATTCTTCACACGAGCGAAGACAGCTGTTGCTGTTGGGACCCTTTGATTTTCTTAAATGGTGTCCATTTGCATAGGGAGGCTTCATCTTTAGAGTATGATTTTGGGGCTAATATAATTCATTAGTGCACTATTCTGCCCCTTCCTTTTAACTGTATGTATTAGTTGCAAAGTTCTGAGGTTTTTATTTCCACTTCATCACATTTAAGCATGGCTTTGTTAGTTGCTTGTATAAATTAGAAACTGAAATAACGGGTTTCACAATGTGTCCTTTCATTTCTTTCACTAAGATAGCATGAAAAAGGAGAGAGAGTTTTTGGATGACTATAGCTGACAGGACCCGACCCAAATTCCACTTTGGAATCCGAGCCGAACCCTGTGTGTTTTCGACACCTAGCAAGTGTCGTGGCACAAATGGCCAAATTGCCCTTTTAACTAAAATCCAAACTTATTTCAAGTTTGACTTCTGCTGGAAATCTGGGGCTGATCCCAAGGTGGGAAAACAATAGCTAAGCAAAGGATACGGAGTTGTATGTATGGTGTGAACTGGGCGGCCGAAGCCGTGTGTGGTGGCCAGAGCCGTGTGGAGAAAATATGGAGAGTGGAGAGTGGAGAGGGAGAGAGAGCTTCGGGTATTTTTCTCGGGTATTAGGAGTAGGTTTAGATGTACCTTGAATGATGAATGAAGTCATCTATTTATAGGAGCCTCGGGGCTAGGGTTTTGTAGAGATTGAGTCGGGCTTGATTACATCCTTTTATTATGATAATATCTGAATTAATGATATTATCTCATTAATTATGAGATAATACCTTATAATTAAGATATTATCCCCTTATTAGGATAATATCCAAATTAATGATATTATCTTATTAAATAAAGATAATATCTTATAATTAAGATATTATCCCTATTAATTAATTAACCAAATAAATTGGTTTAACTAATTAATTTAAGGGATAATCTTTTTTTCCATGTGGCATGCTGTGATTGGAGACGAAAATATTTGCTCCCACAAATGCCCCCCCAGCTTCTGCATGGCGCTTGTGTGGCATGTAGGGGTTGAAGTTATTTTTCGAGCTCTCCAACTGTGTCTGGGCTTTCTTCTGTGAGTTGGACTCCTTTTGCAGATCGGATTCCCAATTGGAGTAGGCTTCTGACTGTTCTTGGAGTTGGATTCCCAGTAGGAATGAGCTTGCGATTCCTTCTTAACCCGGGTTGTCCAACTTGTATAAATACGGGGCTTTTCTTCTCTCTTTCTCACATCCCAAACTTAACTTCTCTACTTTCTAGCTTGAGAAAGATCTTAGAGAATTTGTACTGCTTGTTGAAGAGAGGAGTTGCCGTGCATCCCAATGTAAGTCGAGCACGTATATTTTTTCTTCATCTTCTCTTCTTCGCTGCGAGGACCAGCTGGGTAGGACTAGGCTAGTCGTTGTCGTGATTGGAGGTCGAAGACGGTTGGTGGCTGCTAAGCGAGTATCGGGAGGAAGTTGGTGGTCTGCCCCCTGCCCAAGATGTTGAGAGATGGAGGCAGAATGGTCTACACTCTGATAATCTACCGGTTGGGCAGGAAGAGTGTTCTACCGGACCCCCTTAAAAAAGGAAGGCAGATGTTAAGTCTTCAAGGAATGAAGCTGGGACTTCGCAGGTGAAGGTTGTGTCTCTATTCGGGGAAGAAGCCAAGAATCCATTTTACTAAGAAGGCCCAAGTAGGAGTTGTTCCCTCGTCATCTGCCAGGGTTAAACATCTTGTTAGTGCAGATAGCAAGAAGATTGGCGGTATACACCACATTAGGGATGTTCCACTTAAGCCTCTTGTTGATGAGTTTGGAGATCGTAATCTACTCCATGAAGTAGTCCGTGCGTGATCTAGTTCATCTGTTGAGAAGTAAAGAGATGCAGATATTCCTCTTCGAAGTTTGGGTCGTCTGCACCAGTTAAAGGATGGAGGTCGATCTGGGAGGTCTGCTCATCCACCCAACCATCATGATCCAACTACTGAGTCATGAGCAGTCAAGTGTGGAGTTGATTCAGCGTTGCCAATTCCTTTGAAAGTGAGGTTGGAAGAGGCTAAGAAAGCAAGAGAGTCATATGCTCGGGCGAAAGGTTCTTCTACAACATCAGGGGCTGATCCCAAGGTGGACAGGTCCAGCCCTGTAGGGGATGTAGGTGCGTCTGATCTGCTGGTTGATCATATCCATCAGGTTGGCGATCTTGATACCCTCTCAAGTCTTTCCTTGGAAAAACAAAAGGAAGCAACATTTCATCTGCTTCAAAAATGAGTAGTTTTTGCTGCTGAAATTATCCAGAACGCGTCTGTTGTTGCCCTCTCTTCTACTTCTGACTTGGTTAGTCAAAAAGATGCTTGCTTCTGTCTTGAGTGCAAGAATGCTGATATCTCTCTTAGTTATGACAAGCTCTTGGAGGTGCCTTTTCCAGGCGAAGCAGTCGTTTGTGTAATGACCATGCTCTTCATCGAATGCGCAGTATTTACTAGTATCTTTCTTGGCTGGGTTTCCCTTCAAAGGCGATGGTTTCTTCAACCAAGGCATGTCCTTTACTTGGGTTAGGATATGGTGAATCGGGATAGTGAACTTGGTGTAGCTCTCAGTTGCTGGAGCACCTCCTTCAGGCTATGATCTGTGCTTGCCTTCATCCTTGTTGTTGCCGTTCCTTTGGCTTGCCTGCTCAGCCGGTTGATCGGCTTGCCTACTCAGTCGGTTGATCGGCTTGCCCGGTAGCCTTCTTTGCGGCAATCTGTTGGCAAGCTGTGGCAAAAACTTCTACCAGTGTTTGGCAGGGAGAGATGGTTAGCTCATGATACAGCTCACACTCAGTTGGCAAGCCCATCTTGAAGGCAGAGGACGCAACTTGGTCATCACATCCTACGATTTTTGCCCTCTCCGTCTTGAACCTCTGGATGTAGTCTCGAAGGGATTCGTCGGACTTCTTGTGCAAGTTGAACAAATGGTCAAGGTTCTTCTTAATCGTCTGGTAAGAAGTGTATTCCTTGGTGAAGACATAAGCAAGCTCCTTGAAGCTGCTGATCGACCTAGATGGCAGGGTGTAGAACCAGTCCTAAGCTGCTCCTAGAAAAGTCATTGCAAACACTTTGCACATTAATGCGTCTTCAACCTTGTGGAGGATCATAACGCTTTTGAAATGCTTTAGATGACTTTCAGGATCGGAATCCACTTTGAAGCATGTGAAAGAGGGCATTGAGAATCGTTTCAGGGGAGCAGCGTGCTCGATTTCGACGATAAAAGGTAAGGAGTTTGCTCGGTCTACCTCCATGCGTAATCCATCTTCGAAATTTCTGTCAATCCTTAAATCTCGAAGTCGGTTATTTTCAAGCTTCTCAACATCTTCCACACACATAGTTGGTCGGTCACATTGGTGACTGCTCTCTGGCGGGAGTAGCTGTTATGCAGCTTTCACATGAGTTTTTATGTACCTTAATATATGATTTGAGTTTCCTTGTTGATGTGTTTTCATAAACAGAGCTATTTTTCCTATCATGTATATAATATGAATGACCTTTTGTTTCATCAAAGAAGAGGAAACAAAAGGTCATTCATGTATTGATTCAAACAGTTGGTGTGCACCTCCAAGGTAGAGTAGAGGGCAACTTTTGGTGACTCCAAACCTTTTTCCGGGGAGGGGAGGTCTACACCTACTTACACTTCTGTGGGTCCGCCATTGTATTCATGTATATGTGGGCTAGGTCAGTTGGCCAAACTAGTGTGTCCGGTCCTTTGCACTCAATTTCAAACCCTTCCACGTACATTAGAAAGTAAAGTTTTTTTTTTCCTCATTTTTTAATAAGTATATATATAGACAACAATACTCCAGCTCTAACTGATTAGTAAAGTTACTCCACATTTTAATTTTATAATTCGATCAGTTCAATTTTTAGGTTCTTATTTGAAGATCATTCATACATAATTTCATCCAAATTGAAACACTTTTACTCCCTTAATTAGTATCATAAACATTTCATTGTTTATTGAAACACTACTACAAAAAACGAAATAGACGACGGGGATCCACCGTTGTTGTAATGCTTTGAAAACCGTCATTAAATCGACCACCATCTATTTGGGTGTCAAACTACGACGGCTTTTCACCGTCATTGTTTATCTGTAAAGACGACGGTTTTTAAATCGTTAATTATAGGAGGAAAGACGACAATTTTTAATAAAACCATCGTGTATTGTATGTAAAGATGACGGTTTTTTATGAAAACCGCGTGGATTGTTTGTAAAGACGACGGTTTATAAAAACCGTCATCTTTACATACAATAGATGACCTTTTTTTAAAAAAAAACCATCATCTTTACTTCACAATAGACGACCCCTTTTAAAAAAAACCGTCATCTTTACATATAATAGACGACCCTTTTTATAAAAAAAAACCGTCATCTTTACCTATAATAGACGACCTTTTTTTATAAAAACCGTCGTTAATTATTTGTAAAGACCATGATTTATTATAAAAACCGTCGTCTAATAAGTTCCCAAACGGAAGGAACGGATTCCTTGAGCAC